ACAGGTAGATCCTCTTGGCGAGGGCTGCCCCCAGCTTCCTGCTGATGCCAGCCTGTGCCTGCCTTCCGTGAAGCATGGCACCCGCAGGAGTCCGGGGCAGGACATAGCCCCGAGGACTAGCCGGCCCAGGAGGGCACGCTGTGGGGCTCACTGCACCATCCCTGCCAGCTCCGTGCCACCCAGCCTCGAGACCGGCCCCCGTCCCAGCGATGCCCTGGGGAGCTGTGGCCCCACCTGGCTGAGGCCCTTCCAGAGCAGGACCCACCCTCGCCACCCACCGAGCCTCCCACGCCGCCCAGCCCCTCCCTCGTCCGGCTGCCCGGCGGATCGTAGAATGTCTGTGCCCCAGATCCAGGTGGAAGAGGTGGGGGGCGAAGAGGGGCTGGCAGCCGCCGCTCCTCCCGACGACCACCTCCGGAGCCTGAAGGCCCTCACCGAGAAACTGAGGCTGGAGACCCGCAGGCCCTCCTACCTGGAATGGCAGGCCAGGCTGGAGGAGCAGACGTGGCCCTTCCAGAGCCCGGCTGCGGCTGCGGGGCAGGAGGCGAGCTCAGAGCAGGGGCAGCGTGGCGGGGAGGAGCCCCTGCTCCCTCCAAGAGAGCCCCCACCCGCCAGGAGCGCCGGCCCAGGCGCCGGGCCCCCGTCCCCTGGCAAGCTGGACGGCTTCCAGAGTATCGATGAAGCTATAGCCTGGCTCAGGAAGGAACTGGTGAGTGGCTGCCCCTGAGAGTCCCAAAAAAGAGAAGATGCCATTCTGTTTCTGTCTGTCTCTCTGTCTCTGTCCCTCTCTCTCCACGTCCCTCTGGCCTGCCCTGTGTACCCCTGTCTACCCCGCGCAATGCACACCTGTGTCTTCCCGTGGGCTGAAGGGCGGAACTCATTTCTCTGGCATGGCAGGGGATGCGGGTGTCCATGGGCCCCTAATTGCAGGTACTAATGGGGAAAGCAGGCCGGGCGCGGTGGCTCACGCCTGTACTCCTAGCTCTCTGGGAGGCTGAGGTGGGAGGATCGCTCAAGGTCAGGAGTTTGAAACCAGCCTGAGCAAGAGTGAGACCCCCCCCCATCTCTACTAAAAATAGAAATAAATTAATTGGCCAACTAAAAAAAATATATAGAAAAAATTAGCCAGGCATGGTGGCGCGTGCCTGTAGTCCCAGCTACTCGGGAGGCTGAGGCAGGAGGATCGCTTGAGCCCAGGAGTTTGAGGTTGCTGTGAGCTAGGCTGATGCCACGGCACTCTAGCTTGGGCAAAAGAGTGAGACTCTATCTCAAATAAATAAATAAACAAACAATAAAAAAGAAATAATGGGGGAACAAGTGTGCATGAGAATATGAACCCGTGTTAAGGTGTCCCCACCCTTCCTGACACCGTGCCTGGCACCCCTGAACTGCTAAGGCGGCTCCTGGGATACAACTGCCCCCTCCCTTCTCCTGGCAACCCCTCCCTGCCATCCACCCCAGCACCTGCTGTGAGTGGCCAGAGTGCAGGCGCTAGCCCATGGCCCCGATGGCCCGATGGCCCCGATGGCCCGATGGGCCCGATGGCCCGACCATGTGGGGGTCTGCGGCCTGGGGCAGGGCTGTGCAGGGGCCACTGTAGGTAGCAGGGCTCAGCGTGGAAAGCGTTGTATTAGTGAGTGGTGTGCAGGGAGCCGTCCAGGGAGGCCAGGATGGGCCCTGCTTGGGGAGAAGCTTTGTGCTCGGGCTGAGTAGGAGTCTGCCCAGGAGCCAGGGCTGGGACAGGCGTTCCAGGCAGAACAATCATGAGCAAAGGGCACGTTGTGTTTGAGCTGGGATGGAAGCTCAATCATTTTTCTGCCCACAGGGAAAACAGGTTCCCATCAGGGCCACCTCTCGCTATGTGGGGTGATGGTGACTCAGCCTGAGAAAGGGGGTGGAGCACAGAGCTGAGTGCCCTGACCCCTCCCGCCCCCCCCAGGGGAGAGCGGCTGGTGTCTGGCACCTGTGGCTTCTCAGAAGAGGCAGGCCCCCAGCTCAGTAACCCCTGCCCCACCCGTCGCCTGAGGCCCAGGTGACACCTGCAGAGCCAGGCCACCCTGGCCACAGGTGAGCCAGCAGTCCAGAGCCAGTGTCACCCTTGGGTCAGCCGGCTAGGCAGAGGCCCTCGTGGTTTGTCAGGTCAGAATCCTGAGAAACAAATCCCCACCGGGCCTGGAACTCCTGTGAGCGGAAATGAACCCCTGCAGATCGGGTGGGGAGGGGCGCAGGGACTCGGACATCTGATTAATTGGAAGCACTTTTCGGTTTTAATCCCTGACGCTGAGAATGCTTCTCAGCGCACACTACACTGCCCTGCCGCGTCCGTCCTGGGTACCTGGCGCGTGTGTCTGCTGGCGGCTCTTGGAGAACACGGGGCACCTGTGGGTCCGTGCTGCACTTTTGGGGGGCTCTGTCGCCACTGGGTGCTTGTGGGGGGTGGATAAAAGGTGCAGCTGCTCTCTGAGCTCTGGAGGGTAAATTGCTTTTGTTTGTTTTCATAAGGAGGAACAAAAAATATTCCCATTAATCAAGGATGCCTCTTGTTAGTTTTGGGTTCATTTGAGATACTATTGCTTCTGGGAGCAGAGACTTTTGCTTCTAAATAAGTTTGCATTCTCCATGGCCCCCCTCTGGAGTGGGGATGAGGGAAGGAATCTCCTGTGCATAAACTGGCAGGGGCTTCCCTAGAGCTTATCCTGGTTATCCTTCACACAGACAGGTGCCGGTCCCCTCCTGAAAACAACCTGGGGAGCTTTTAAAACCCCCAAAGCCTTGGCCATGCCCCAGACTGATCAAATGGACGTCTGGGGGTGACACCAGGCATCGTAAGGCTCCCATATGCTCCAGTGTGCAGCCTGGGCTGGGAACCACTGCCGGGGAACTGGGGTCATGCTCATTCTCTAGCCAGGCCACTGTGAGAGGTGCTGGCCGCAAGGAGGAAGGTGGCCAGCCTGAGGAGCAGCGTGGGTGACGTGCAGAGCCTGCTCGGGAGGAGGCAGCAGAGTAGTCATGTCAGGATGGATTTGGCTGCCAGAGGCTGTCCTAACCAGGTAAAGAGAGTGCTGGCATTTTACATTATATTAATAACTCTCTACACTTGCAGAATATTTCCCGCTCTCTGACCATTGCTATGAGCACCAGAGGTGAGTGACCGTGGCAATAATGACAAGAGTGAGACTTGGCACTGATCAAAAGCTCCCCATGTGCCAGGTGCTCGGCATGCATCACTCACCTCTTCTAACGGTCACTCCCCTGCCCGGACCCCCGTTTTCCAGCAGAGGGAACGGGCTCAGAGGGGGGGACGCAGCAGCAAGTGAGAAAGCTGGAATTGGAACCCCGGCCTCCCTGGTCGCATTGCTGGTGCTCTGCTCCGCCCTGACACCAGACAGCGTCCTCGACAGGCAGCCGATTGTGCTATTTGACTCCTAAAAATGTAAATTCACAAAGATGTCAGCAGACCCAGTGGGGACGGGGACAGAGAGAGACCCAGGATTGAACAAGAGAGTTCAGCCTCACTGCACCATCTCTGGGTCTTACAACAAAACTGCAATTCCCCTGATTGTCTCCGTTTTACAGACGAGTAAACTAAGGCCCATAAGAGTCAGGCAAGCTGCCTGGGGTGATCTGACCTGGATGTGGCAGAGCCAGGGCTTGAACTCAGTAAGGTCCCTTGTTACAGCGAATATTCTGACCCCTTTGCTCTGGGGTGGGACTTGTGGTTTAGAATTCCCAACAAGCTCTAAGGGGATGCTATGTTGCTGCTCTTCCGGCCACAGGTTGAGTATAAAGGAATGAAAGGCGACAAGTCCAGGGCCAGGGGACCAAGAGGGACCTCAGGGACAGACACAGGGATCCTCGAGCTAGAGCTGTGAGCCCTGTCTCTGCTATAACCGCCTGTGTGGCTTGGGGCTGCGACAGCGAGTGGACCTCAGTGAATGAACTCACAGCGTCCCAAACCGGGTAGTCCAAGGACCACTTCGTTCATTCAGGAGATGCGTCTCGGAGGCCCAGAGCAGCCCAGATGCAGGCCGGCCGGCCGTCAGAACACGCACTTCCTCCTGCTGCAGGGATTAGACAGTAACAAAGGCAACTTGTGAACTGTTTGGATTGAAAGCAGAGAGCTCAGCATTTGGACAACAAACACATTCTTAAGTCTCAGTAAAAATGTTAAACGTAATGCCATTCCTAATCTGTCATCCGTTAACTCATTGAAGGCGTTTTCAAAAATTAACTTATTTTTTAGCCGGATGAAAGTGGTTTGCATGATCTGTGCTGTGTTTTCAGCCTGGAGTCAAGTTTCCTCAACCCCTGAGCAGGCGCTCCACGCTGATTTGTTAGCCTCAAGTGCAAACGTGGTCTTTGCTTCTTATGCGGACAAGGAAACAAGATTGGAAATCTGTAACTCCGTCAGTCCTGTGGGTGTTTTCCCTACACGAAGTCAAGCACCCAATTTGATGGGGGTTTTGACGTCAGGGGGTGGCAGGCCCTAACCGTCCAGCGGCTCTGCCAGAGCCAGGAGCACAGCCAGGCAGGTGGCTGTCAGCGCCCCTCAGTCACAGGCAGCTTCGTCTCATGCTCCGGCGTTTTCAAGACCAGCTACCAGGCAGAGAGGGACTGCCCGCCCTTGGCTCATTTCTAAGGCAAGGAAGGCCCCTAACAGCTCCCTAGGGGGTCAGCTCTCCCGCTCTGCTTTCAAGGAAATGACAATTGTACCTGACGCCCCCCAGGGACCCTCAAGCAGGTTGGATTTTCCTACAGGCTAAGGCCTTGGGGATACAGGAAGGTGGAAATCCTCAGAGCCTGTCCCTGCGACAACTCCTCCAGCTAAGGAGGCCCGACCTTCGCCCTGGAGTGGATTTAGAGAATGTGTCATCATCTGGCTGTGGCCTCTGCATGAGGCGGCTTTGGGCCACCTGACTCCTCCAGGCTAAGATCCAATCTCACTGTTGCCCGGACACCAACTCAGGGCTGAACGAAGAGGCCATTGTGCAACGCTGCTGGCTCCAGGCTGCCCAGGTCGGAAAGGAGACAGCCTCCAGCTTTCTACCTTCCAGCCGGCCTCCATAGGTGGCCAGGTGGGCTGGGGTAGGTGGCTGTGGCCGTGGTGCTTCAGGAAGGGAGTGAGCTAGGAGGGCCTTGACCCAGAGCTGTGGGATTCTCTTCTCTCCAGCTGGGTCTGGAATTCAGAACATTTCACAGGCGCCTCGCACTGGGCCAGCGGTCAGGGCCAGCCAGCCGACTCCCTGGCCTGGGTCTGGAGCCTCAGCGCTCAGGAAAGGCACCTGCCTTCCTGTCTTCTCTCTTCCGTCACACCCAGAAGTTCCCTCTGCCAACCTGGAGGATAAAGAAAAGGGACGAGAAGGTCTTCCGCTTGGCGTGTGCGGTGCCAGACCTGAAAACCAAACATTCCGGATTCCTGGTGGGCTGGCTTTGTGCCGAGAAACCTGGGTGCCTACAGAGACTCTTCCTTTGGTTTCACGCAGGTGTTTGATCCCTGCAGACGGAGCCCCCAGGAAGGTGTTTATGGTTGTTAGAAAAAGGGGAAAGAAACCTGACCAGTTTTAATGACTTAGGGCTTGCCAGTGACAGGAGGCCTGTAGACCAGGACCCAGCGCCACAGCAGCGCTGGCCGCAGCTGCTCCTGTCAAGCCAGGAGTCCTCTCCCAGTTAACCCTCTCTTGCCCATGCTGCCTGCTTGGCAAGTGCATGACTCGTGTCCAGGCACAGCCCTCTGAGGCCAGTGTCATCCATATCTACAGAGTGGTGTGGCCAGGTGACAGGTCAGACTCACCAGGCACCTTCTGATGGGGACAGAGGTGAGAAATGTGGGGATACAGCCATGTCAGTACCTCCCATGGAGGGAGCATTCTGTGGTTCCCAAAGGTCTTTCCATACGGCATCCTGTGCAAAGGCTTGGGAGCATTGGCTATTCCTGCTTTGCAGAACGAGCCTCGGAAAGATGATAGGCCTCAGGGACAGAGAGGTTAAGGGACTTGCCCAAGATCATGTGAAGGATGTGGCAAAACCCTGGCATAAACCCACATCACTGGCCTGGCCTGTAGATCCAGATCTCTTCTTCCCTTTGTTCCAGGCACATCAGACGTTTGAGTTGGCAGGGCCAGGAGCTGTCAGAAAGCCTGTGTTTAAACCCTGCTGATTTCAGACTGGGACGCTTGTAAAAGTCACAGCCAGAGGCTAGAAGAGCCTCCTAATAGCCCTTCAGCAGGGGCTGGGCAGCTGTTTCCTGATGAGGATAATAACTCAGGGCCATCCAGCAAGCTGGTACTGGCTGGGCTGGAATTTGGTTCGCAGGAGAACTTCTCATCCAGGCATGTGTTTGCCCAGGGCTAAGTCTTCTCAGCGTAGCTTGGGGCTTTCAGCCTGCCACACCAGCAGCCTTCAGGAGGAAGACTCCCGTTCCATTCATCTGGGCAGACTCTGCCCTCTTAGGGGTTATTAAAGAATTTGTAAACAAAGGTACCAGCAAAGGAAATACACCAGACCTCAGTGATCTTTATTTCTGGGTGGTAACATTATTCTTTCGACTTTTCTGTAGTTTCCAAAATTTCTAAAATAGGCATAAATTATGTATAATGAAGATGGGAAAAAATTATAAAAATAAAAGACCAAAGAAAGAAGAGTGCAAGTATCTCACCAATGTAATTGGTACATACTCTTCACCATGCAGTCTACTGATTTTTTTTTAAAAAAAAGCATAGGCTCTCCTAGAACGAGGTAAAAACCAGACCCAGTCTCCAGAAGGCCCCGCTCCACGTGCCAGCTGATGAGGCAGGCCCTGCTCCCGGCAGCTGCAGCCGATCGGAGTCGGAGGCCCTGCCTCTCTCTCTCTCTGCACTGTCTTGGCTTGTCAGGGAGAAGGAAGGGAGAAGACGACTCCTGGTGGCTGTGCCCCGCCGGGGTGACATCACGTAGACCATCCTGGGGCTGAACAAGGCAGGCCAGGCATTCTAACCCAGTCCCCGCTCCATTCAGTGGCACCAGGACTGAGTCCCACGAGTGCCTGGGCTCTGGTGTGGGGTGTGGCGGGGCTGTCTCTGAGGAGGTGACAGACACACGAACACGGTGGCATGCGTGACAAGGGCTATCCGAGCGGTGCAATAAGCATAGCTGTGAAATGCTCCGGGGAGCTGAGGCCACACTGAGCGGTGGCTGTGCCAGGTGCGGTGGGCGATGAAATTAACCAGAGGGAAACATACACACCCTCACTTCCCACGCAGGCAGGGCCTCGCCTGTAAGCGGAATTGCTGTTACGCTTCTCCTTATTTCTCGTTCACATTTTTCTGTAATAATCAAAACCCAGTTGCTCTGAGGGACACCCTCCCAGTTATAATAACCACACACCAAGGTACCCGGCAGTGACCTTCGGGTGGGGCAGCCAGGGAATTTGCTGAAAGCCCAGATCTCTCCCAGCCCTCCATGGAAATTCAGATTCCTCAAATCTGGGAGGCGCTGGGAGGTTAATAAGTACCCACAGGTGATTCTAATACCACTGGCCCATTAACTGGCCCCAGGAGGAGTGGAAAAAGTATAAAATTGGTAATTAGATGAGAGGTCAAGTCCAATCCTACCACATCCTAGTTGTGTGACTTTAGGAAAACCAATGAACTAATCCTCAATTTTGTCCTGGTAAAATGGGGACAGTAAACCCCACCCTGGCAGGGCATTGTGGAGGGAGGATGGGGAGGAGGGCGAGCAGCTTTAGGGCCCTGCACACTTGCCGGGCTCCTGGAAGGGTGGGGAGCCCCAGTGTTTTCGGAGGCCAAGGAAGGAGGATCACTTGAGTCCAGGAGTTCGAGGCTGCAGTGAGCTGTGATCACGCCACTGCACTCCAGCCGGGGCAGCAGGGGCAGGAGCCAGGCACAGAGGAGCCGTAGGGCTGGTCCTGCCTGCCTGCTGGGCTGACCCAGGGAATGGTGGCCTTGGACCTTTCCTCCTACCCACACCCGCAGGGCCCCGAGGCCAGGGCTGCAGAGATGCGACGCCATGCCTGCGGCCTCCCTGTGCCAGGAGAGTCAGCTCAGCCCTGTCCCTTGGGCCTGCGCCTGCCGGAGTAGAAACTTCCCAGAACCAGCTCCAGCCTCCGCCCGGGGACCTGGCTTCCCCTGGAAATCAATCCACAAACTCAGTTCAGTTTCTAGGGGTGTTAGAATTTTTTTTTCACATTTCCCCGGAACCTCAAGCTGCCACGCAGCAGCACGCTGAGCGACACCTGCTTTCTCTTCCCCCCGGCGACCGTCTGCCTCCTCCTCAGAGGCCAGCGCCAAGATCAGATGCTTCCACTCTCCTCAGCCTCCTCAGCGGACAGCCCCACGCCGCACTGACCAGACAATAAGCCAGCCTCTGAGTGAGCAACACAGGTAAGGAGACGGGTTGCGAAGATGGTCTCCGAGGTGCAAGAAGGAAGTCTTACTTCCAAGTCATGGGACCGTGGAGCCTGTTCTGGACCTTCCCTTGCAGCTGAGAAAATAAATGGCCTGGACTTTATACTGGTCTCTTCTCGGCATCACACTGTCTGCAGCTACGAGGCTGGGACAGGAGAGAGAAGACCCAGTACTGCAGCGCTGTCCTTTCGTATGTGGCTTATGTCACTGCACGTGAGTCCTCAAGGTCCATCCACGGTGTGGCATGGGGCACGATCTCCTTCCTTTCTGAGGCTGAATAACCCTCCACTGTGTGGACAGACCACACTGTGTCATCCGCTCGTCCGTCCAAGGACACTGGGTGGCTTCCACCTGTTGGCGACTGTGAGTAACACTACTGTGCACATGGGTGTGCAAATGCCTGCTCCAGTCCTAGTTTTGGGGACACACTGGAGTCAGCACCTCTCCCGACTCCCCAGGAAAAGCAGCAGATGACACAAGGCACAGCTCAGGAGCTCTGAGTTTCCTCGTTCTCCTGGGTTTGGGCCCCTACCACACCCTTGCTTCTCCCTCCCCTTTCAGCGCATTTAATTACTGTGTTTAGCTACTTAATCCTGCCCTCGGGCTTCACCTGCTACCTTAGAAACAGTCCAGCTCTCTGAAGAACATTCTTGTCTGCCCCCCAAAACAGACACTGTTGGTCACAAGCACAGCTGTTTCGAAGGGGCTCGTTGTCCCACACTCTTTACGTCTTCACGCCCGGTGGGGACACCCCCTCTCACCACCATGCACTGGCAAGCCCTGGCTGGTGACATCTCTCTGCCTTTCCCCAAGTCCTGAGCCCTAATTATGGGGTTGCTGGAATGACTGGCTGCACCTCTGAGAATCCAGCCAGTGCCTTTGTTCCCAGTCACGTCCCCCAGCGGAGCCTTTGCCAAGGACCGCGTTAAACCCACACCGAGAGCTCAACCACTAGGGCCAGGTCCTAGCGCCAGCGTCGCAGGCTCTGTAATGAGGGGTTAGCGCTGGGGCTCTACTTTCTGTGCCCCAGCCTGGGGAGAAAGGCCTTACACAGTGGGGACCTTCTCACCTATTTGGCCAGTACTGTTCATATTTTCGGGCAGGTTCTGTGTTGTTTCACTCACCACAGTCCTTGGAAGAGGTCTGCCCCTTTTCTGCAGATGAGGGGGAAGTTCGAGGAGCAAGAGGGACTTGCCCAAAGCCACCCAGCGAGCGAGGACTGGAGTTCAGGTTCTCACCAGGGCTGTGAACTTCCTCCTCTGCTGCCTCTGGGCCCCACTCACCGCTGGTGCACAGGAGCCAGGGGGAGGCCACCACCATCCACAGGCCGGCTGGCCCTGTGCACCCAGCTCCTTCACTTCTCTGAGCGGGGTTCCTCTTCTGGAAAACAGACCATGCCCACCTCTAGAGTGGGGGGAGGATGCAGTGAGACCACGCATGTAAGATACGTCAAGCGGCGTATGGCAGCCACCAGGGCTGTGTTGCCATCGCTGCCTCTGAGGGGTCCCTTGGCAGAGCTTGGTGGCCAGAGAAGACAGGAGGGGGGCTCCAGCCCCAGCCAGCCCTGCTCTCTGGCCATGCTGCAGCCCCGCCCTCCCAGCAGCTCCATTCTCCTGATTGCTGCGCACAGGTTCCGAGAGACACGTTCACTACAGACTTCTAAAGAGATTAACGTATCAAAGAGCTGCTTAGCCGTTCCATCCTGGAGGGTGTTAAGCCAAGAGAAATCAGCCAGTCACAAAAAGACAAATACTGTATGATTGCACTTGTACAAGGTCCCTGCATCCGTCCAACTCACAGAGATAGGAGGTAGAAGGGGGGATGCCGGGGGCTGGGAGGAGGGGAGGGGGCTAGTGTCTAGTGGGTGCAGAGCTCAGTTTGGGAAGATGACCTCTTGGGTTCTGGAGTGGATGGTGGTGACGGGTGCACAGCAATGGGAACGCAGTGACTGCCACCCCGCTGCGTCCTTAAAAGTGATCACGAGGGTCAATTTTACGTTATGCAGATGCTACCACCATTTTTAAAAACTCTGGGAAAAAAGAAAAATAAAGCCTCTTAGCCATTGCTCAGGTTTCTTCGGAGGCTGTGAGAACTCGTGTGAGTTTGGTTTGATCACAGAGTTACCTCTTAATCGGGGCTCCAGTTAGTATTTAAGGTGCAAAGTCACCCTTGCAGATACTGTTTTGCAAGCCCACCCTCATGTGTCACCCTGCCGTCTGTGTCTCTCTACCTCCTCCTCGAGCTGGCAAAGGGCTGGTGCTTCCAGACGGACCCCCACGTGGTTCTTTAGGACCCCTGCCCGCGGGTCTGTCCCCGAGCTCACGCCCCTCCCCTGCTTTGCAGACGGAGATGCGGCTGCAGGACCAGCAGCTGGCCAGACAGCTCATGCGCCTGCGCGGAGACATCAGCAAGCTGAAGATCGAGCACACCTGCCGCCTGCACCGGAGGATGCTCAACGACGCCACCTACGAGCTGGAGGAGCGGGACGAGCTGGCCGACCTCTTCTGCGACTCGCCCCTGGCCTCCTCCTTCAGCCTCTCCACGCCCCTCAAGCTCATTGGCGTCACCAAGATGAACATCAACTCCCGGAGGTTCTCTCTGTGCTGAGAGGCCCTGGAGGCAGGGGGTCTGGGAGGAGCCCGGCCCAGTTGCCCCAGCGGGTCTCCCAGGGGCCGGGCTTCCTGCGGCTGAGGGCTGGGGGCCTCAGGACCTGTGGGGCGGTGCTCCCGGGGACCCCGGTGTGGTCCCAGTGCTCCTGGACTGGCCCCCGTTTCACGCCCAAAGAGCTCTGTCTGCAGAAGGGCCGCTCCAACCAGACGTCAAGGAGAACCTGGTGCCCAGCGTGACCCGTCCCTTGACGGCCCACATTCCTGTTTCCTGGAGTCACTGGTGCTATGAACTGGGATTCCCAAAGGTGGGGGGGGGACCCAAAGCTGTCATTCTTGCAGAAGGCTCCCCCTGCAAGGGCCCTGGAGAGATGAGACACGCCAGACGTGCCCATCTCCCAGGCTGTCACTGTCCTCTAAGTACAGGCTGGAGTTCACCCTCAGTAGGGGACTCAGCAGACTTGAAAGGAACCCACCGGGAAAGGGAAATCAAAAGGAATGACAGAGTGGTGCTTGGGGACCCAGGCCCCACAGCTGCAGCCAGTGCCCGGGAGAGCCTGCAGTCCGGCTGCGGTTGGTTTTGCACCCAGCACAACCGGCCGAGTGCACCATCATCCCCAGGTGTGCCGGGGGTGGAGCCAGCACAGGTGCCCCATTGCCTTCCCTGGCCACGTGCACCAGCCACACCCTCCAAAGGGCCCCTTCGCTGCCCCAACAGCCCCAGGGAGCCTGCCCAGGACACCGCTGGTGACTGGACCAGGCAGGTCCTGGCCGGGTTTCCCAGGAAATCCTCCTGGAGGGGGCGCCACGGAGGCCTCCCGGTGGGTTCTGATGGCATCTATCACCTATGTCACCTTATTGCCCCTCCCCCGACAGACAATCTGGGGAGCCCAGAGCCTGTCCTGAGTCTCCTCTGAGACCCTGTGCCTGACCTAACCACTAGTTTTCACCGAGTAAGACTGTTACTAGTGTGTCGCTACCGTGTTAATGACTGTTTGGGCTTTGTCGAATGGGGAAGCCAGTTGGGTAGGTGGGGCGGGTGCAGTTTAGGGTTTGATTTAAGAGTTTCTCCCTATGGAGTGTGAGGGTCCGAGCGCCAAGGCCTGGGTGGGTTAGAGAGTCAGCCTGGGCGACTCACCCCGCCCGGTGGCCTCCTCCCAGCCCGGCAGAGTCCTCAGACCAGAAGTCCTTTGACCTGCGATGTCACCTAGCTGAGCCCTCTCCCGGATAAAGGAGCAAAGTGAAGCCTGGGGAAGGAGAGTGGCTTCTCCAGGTTGCACGGCGCTCGGTGGCTGTGGATATTGGCGTGCGGAGCAGTTGTGAGTGACGCCTAGACAGGCCATGCACCCGTGCCAAACCCCAAAGGCGGCCCGAGGCTTTGCCAAACCCACACACTGCCTATGTCTCTATGCCGGCCTCACTCGCACCCCCCCTCCCGCTTTGCAAGTCGGGATGCAATTCAGGCAACGGCAGGGCGGGGCCTGGACAGTGGGCCCACGGGGTCCCGTGGTCTAGGCACGGTGTCCAGCTGCTCTGTGTGTCTGTCTTGTCTCCTTCCTGCATAATCTCAGCGGAGCTGGGTCCACACACACCGTGAGCTACACAGGGACAGGGCGCTCTTCCTTAGTGGACTGAGAGGGGAAGATGCAAGCGAATGGTCCCTTGCAGACAGGAAGGAACTTGGTCTCTTCCTTGTAATTTCAAAAAGCCAGAGGGTCTGTGCTTCCTTCGAAGAAGGTGGAGCAGCGTAGCCAGGGTTTTGCATCCACCCTCCTCTGTGCACTGAGGCCTAGAGGACCTAGCAGCACTGTCCTGCTCAGAGCTCTGCCGCGCTCGGCCCGGGCCCTGACAGCCCTCCCTCTCCTGCCGGCCCTTCCGGAAGAGCCCCGGGCCAGCCCCCACGCACCTACCCCCCCACACGGCAGAGAACACACCTTAAACACCCTCGAACCTAGGCAGGAAAGCCCATCCCACGGTCTGAAAAAATGCCAGACTGAGCTTTTCTTTTTGCTTTTTAGAAATCAGTCATTACAGCAACAGAAACAACTGGATTCGACCGGAGCTGGAGGTTTTGTTGCGTGTGCTCGGTCCAGTGGAGCCGGGCGTGCCCGAGCCATTCAGCTGCTCAGGAACCCACGCCCGCTCGCCTGGCTCTCTACGAGGGGGCCAAGGGCACGACACGTTTTGGGATAGGTTGTGTGTCTATTTTGCCCAATTTCATCCCAAAAGAATTTTATCAGGGGATGAGGAGGAGCAGGAGAAGGGGTGAGCAGGGAAGCGAGTGGAGGGAAGGCACTGAGTTTCCCAAGCACCGTCCAGTGTCCCCAGCTCCCTCCCGGTCCGCGGCGAGCGCAGCTGCCCTGTGACGTCCCTGCTCTGCGGGGCCTGGGGCAGCAGCAGGGCGGGCCTGGCCTCCCCGCCACCTCCCTCCACGTGTACGCAGTGCTGCTGCCAGTTCTACCCACTATCCCTCCGTCTCCCCGAGTGCCCAGGCCTCCCGGGGGGAACACGTGGAAATCCCCACTGGCGCCGTCTCATGTGGTCACATCTCCTGCCCTGGCGGGCTCAGGAGCTGTCACAGAGGCCTGAGGGCCTGGGCAGGCTCCCCCTGGCCTGGCCGAGCCCGAGACACCCACCCGTAGCAATACCAAGTGCTATTACGTGCATAATTGATGGACAGTTTATACTTTTATTTTTTATGATTATTTGTTTCTATATTGCTGTTAGAAAAAGTGAAATAAAAAATACTTCGAGAGACGATGTCCATCCAAAGAAGAGAAAGTGACTTCCTTCTAGCCTGTCCCTGTCTCACGGCACACGCAGGGCCAAGCACCCCATTGAATGAAAGGATGGTGGATGGATGGATGGATGGATGGATGGATGGATGGATGGATGGATGGATGGTTGGATGAATGATTTTTGCAGCCAGAGTGGAGGTTTCAGATGGGCTAGTTTTAAATGCCCTGTTCACAGGCTCAAAGCAAACAGCTGCAGAGACAGCTAGGGGTCTCCGAGGGAAATTTGATTCAGGAAGAAGAACCTCACAAGTGTTTGCTCGTATATCATTTCTTTGAGGATCAACACTCGAGGTGGTGGATATGCTAATTGCTCTGATTTGATCATTATACACTGACTGTATCAAAACATCACTGTGTATCCATAAACATGTACAATTATGATGTGTCAGCTTAAAAAGAAGAAGAAAAGGAAGATGAAAGTGTTTGAGGGCGCTGGAAAGTAGTCACCCGCCACCCGCTGCAGGAGGGAGATTGGTGTGAACATCTGCACCTGCAGGGACCTCGCCAGGAAAGAAGCTGTAAGACGCCGGCAGCCTGTGGGGCGCAGCGTTTTCCTGAACCTTGTGTTGAGCAGGGAGCCGCCAGGAGCTGGGAGCTCCGTGCAGGGAGGACTGAAGCCCTAGGGAAGGGGTTTTTGCCCAAAACAGCCAGAGTCCCGTGGGAAATCTGAGTGAGAGATGACAACGCCGACACCTGGTGCCCCTCCAGGAGATGCCCTGCCCAGGTGGGCTCACCTCTGTGCCCCCACCCACTGCACTCGGGGCCTACCCGTGGGGCTAGAGTGGGACTGACGCCACTCCTCCCTGTCCCGTCTGTACCAGTAGTCGGTGCGGTCAGGAAAGTGGAGCCGTCTTAGCATTCCAGGAAGGGAAGGGCCTGGTTGGGGGACCCAGGGGCCTCCAGGACCAGTGGGGAGGGCAGGGCAGGGAGCATCCGGTGATTCACAGAGCCCACCCGGCCCGCCCAGGACAGGCGAGCTCAGCTCCGCGGCAGCCTCTCTGGGCTCCCTGCAATGGCTCGGTGGCGACTCTCAGGAGGTCCTCTGTCCCCACCTCTGCCTGCTGCCACCACTGGGAAAAACGGCTTCGCTTCCTGCTACGGGGTGAATTGTGCCCCCCCCAAATCATGTTGAAGCCCTCACCCCGAGTATCTCAGAATGGGACCGTGTTTGGAGGTGGGGCCTTTAAAGAGATAATTCAGAGGAAATGAGGTCACATGGGTGGCCCTAATCCAATCTGACGCGTGTTCTCCTCAGAGAGGGGGTTAGGACACAGACACGCACAGACGGAGACCCCGAGAGCACACAGGGGCAGACAGGCAGCTGTCTGCAAGCCGGGGGGGGCCTCGGGAGGAGAAACGAGCCCTGGGACACCTTGACCCTGGGCTTCCAGCCTCCAGAACTGGGAGGAAATACATGTGTGTTATTTAAGCCACACAGTCCGTGGCATTTTGTCACAGCAGCGGAGCCCGGGAAAACACTGCCTTCCTCCCGGTCCTCCTCCTCCTCCCCTCCCCTCCCCGTCCCCGGCATTTAAAGCACCACATGGAAGTGACTCACGTCCATTTCTGCTCACATTTCCTTGGCCAAAGCAAGTCACTCGGCCGAACTTGACCTCCAAGGGTGGGGTGGGGAGTGCCAGCTCACCCCGTGCCCACAGGCAGAGCAGGACTGGAACATCTGGGGTGGGACTGCAGTGGCCACCCGCCATCCTCCCCCACCCTACCCAGAGCTGACCTGAGGCCACCTGGGCCAGAAGAAGTGGGGTGCAGACACCTGGCAGCTCACAAGACGATGTGGTGGGGGCAGGGAGGGTGAGAAGAAAGGATGACAACTTGTATTACCATGTTTCCCCGAAAATAAGACAGAGTCTTATATTTATTTTTCCTCAAGACAACACCCTAGGGCTTGTTTTCAGGAGATGTGTTATTTTTTTTAAGTACGGTACAGCAATCTACATTTATTCAAATAGAGTTAAGTTATCTTCTTCTGGAACATCATCATCACTCTCCAAACCCCGAATTCCATCCTGAATTTCTTGTGACTGTTTCCTTTAGAACCATCGGCCCCAATCTCTCATGGCGAGCAACAGAGCTCTCATGGGGCAGATGAGAAGGGCTGCTGGTCTTCTTTACCGCTCCGCGACGACACGCATGGGTTGTGCAGACGCGCTGTGTAGCCACGCCCGTCACCAGGTCTTATTTTGGGAGTAGGGCTTCTATTGCACAAATGCTTAGACATCCCGCTAGGGCTTATGTTCTGGGTAGGTCTTATTTTCGGGGAAACACGGTACTACTTTATCTCTTTCTTCTGCTCTGAACATGCTCTCAGTGTGAACGCTGTTCTGGGACAGTGATACGAGCTGTGACGGATAAATCTGCTGGGGCGCACGGTTTTACAGATGGAGGGAAATCGAACAAGGACAGGGCCAGCCTGTGTCTGCAGGGACACTGTATGGGATGTCACCCTGTGGCTGGGACTTGGCCAAGCCCAGGAATACCAGAGCCAGAAGCATGCTCCTCCCAAGAGGTGGCACAGAGAGGTGGCACGGGCACATCCTCTGCCAGAGGTCCTGCTGCCCCGTGTGGCCACAAAGGGCACTGCCCACGCCTTGCCTTAGGTAGAAGACCAGTGTCCTGCCCATCCACGCCAGCTCTGCTACCTGGACAGGCCCAGGACGAAGCCCACGTCAGAAACACCTGGAGTAGAAAACAGAAGGTGGGGAGAGAGAGAAAGGGGCGGGAGGCCAAGAAGGAGAGAAGGCACAAGAAAAAGTGAAAAAGGAGGTTCTTATTTAAGATGGGGAATCAGCACCAAATCTGAGACCAGGAAACAGTCTCCCTTCCTGCACCGCACCTGCCTTTTTAGAATGTTCTGGTCAATTCTAAGAACAAGGCCCAGAAATCACAGTTCTGAGTTTGAGGCTGGGGCGGGAGCAGATCCAAGGCCCAGCAGCTGGGTGGGAGACCCCAAGCCCTGACGCTCGGCCACGCCAGTGAGTGAGCCACCGCCACCCAGGGCCGCATGAGCCCACACTCGGTTTCAGGCCCCTCTCGTCCCTTCCGCCCAGGCTTTGGCAGGTCACCCTCACCCCGCTGCCCGCTTCCTGCAGGAGACAAAAGGATGGCAGGGCCACCCCTGGATCCCAGCTGCTTTCTTCCCACCCAGCCTTCCTGTCTGCAGAGCTGCCTCCATGCCCTTCCCTCTCACTCTCTCAGAAAGCTCAATGAACCATCATGAAATGTTGCAGGGCATCCCAGAAGGCAGAACTTGATTTCTTTTAAGCAAGAAAAGTTTCTATTTAAAAGACTCCAGGCCGGGCTCAGTGGCTCATGCCTGTAATCCTACCACTCTGGGAGGCTGAGGCAGGCCGATTGCTCAAGGTCAGGAGTTCAAAACCAGACTGAGCAAGAGCGAGACCCCGTCTCTACTAAAAATAGAAAGAAATTAATCGACCAACTAAAAATATATAGAGAAAAATGTAGCCGGGCATGGTGGCACATGCCTGTAGTCCCAGCTACTCAGGAGGCTGGGGCAGGAGGATCGCTTGAGCCCAGGAGTTTGAGGTTGCTGTGAGCTAGGCTGACGCCACGGCATTCACTCTAGCCTGGGCAACAAAGTGAGAATCTGTCTCAAAAAAATAAAAATAAAAAAATAAAAGACTCCAGCTGCGCCTCTTTGTAGCAAAGGAGACAGTGAGTCTCCCCGAGACAGAGGGATGAGTGATGTTTCCTCGGACTGGAAGAAAGGCGAGGGAGGGACGGATCTTCTTCTGTGGGGCGCCGGGCCAGGCCTGCAGGCAGAGACGGGCCTCCCCCCAACCCGCTAAGATTGGGAGCCATGGGGGACAAATTCCACTGCGGCCAAGAAGCCTCTGGAAGAACAGGCTCTCAGCCCTGTCCCAGAGTCAAAGCTCCGGAAGCATCTCTGGGACATTTCTAGCCTCGGGGATGCCGGCTCTGCAGGGGAAGGACGCATGTGACCCAGACAGGCCCGGCTGCGGGACAGGAATGGGCCTGTCACGGGGGCCGTGACACTGCGGGATGATTGAGTCTCAGTGGAAAGGGAGCAGAGGACAGCAGGTTGCAGCGACAGGGTAGGGCTCAGGGTTGCATCCTATGAAATATTAAAAGAGGCGTGACCTAACACTGACCCCGAGCTGGGGGTGGACACGTGCTGAGGCAGTTACTCTGTGCAGCCGGGAGCGGGGGGCGGGCTGCCCCGCCACAGACACAGGGGCAGGTTCAGGTGCTGATGTGACTGGCTAAGGTCACCTGGGGCAGGGCAGGGACTGCGCCGTGGTCTCCTGACTCCTCCTCCGCGCTTGCAGTACTTCCATCTCGAGTTCTCCCTGCCAGAACCACGCATGGCAGAGGAGGCCTGAAAAACCAACTCCGTGTGGTCTTCCTCCTGCAGAGTCCACAAAGGGTTTTCCCAGACTATCGCGCAGCCCCGTTGTGCAAAGGAGATCCTGCAGCGCCCCCTGCTGGAGAGACAGGACTCCCGTTCTGTGTGCGTTTTCTTAAACACTAGCGAGGCTGTTGCCCAACTTCTTGGCATCCGCCATTGCTGTCGCTTGACCTGTTGGCTGAAAAATTCAGAATTCAGATGCTGTTTTCCACCACCTGAAACCTCTACTCGGATTACTCTGTCACAATGCAATTAAATTCTACAAATACGTTTCATGTCCAGCATGTGCTGGGCGTTGTTGTGCCAACTCCGTGACGTGAGATGAAAATATATGGATCACTTTGGTTCCTTCATGACATCTAGACTGCAGCTCACATCTTTGCTCTGCTCTGGAACCCAGCCCTTTATAAAGAAAATAAAATGGCCATTATTAGCTTGAATATAGTGAGATAGTTTTATTATTATTTCTTTTTAGAGACGGGGTCTTACTGTGTCATCCAGGCTGGATCACAATTCACTGCAGCCTCGAACTCCTGGGCTCAAGAAATCCTCCTGC